CCCCAAAACCCCAAAACCCCAAAACCCCTCAATATAAAAATAGAGCAGCGAAGGAATATAAGAAATAAATTTGAGAATTATAATCACAAATATGAGATCTTTTAAGTCATCTTCAAATCACATAACATCTCTCAAATCTTTAAATCTAAAAAATTCTTAGTCTGCTTAGAAGTTGCCAACGTAGTCAATAACAGACAGATAAGTTGCTATCTCCTAGGAGATTAGCGGAAATAGTTAGCTGAAAAGAGTTAACTCAATAAAGCTAATGAATACCCAGCAATATGAAAGAAATTAACATAATCCTACCGTCATAAGTCTAAATACACATACTTCGCTAGCATCCAAAAGAAGAAGTGATAGACCTAGCACTGCTTCAATTGGTACAACCCATAAAACTCAAACAATTCAACTTAATTCAAAGCCCAAGGATAATAAATTTGATTTTGTTTGCACAAGTGAAGCCTGCTTTAGAATTAAGAAGAAGTTGAATTCAAACGCCTTCGGTAAGAACACCAAATCTGGGTCTATCCCTTAGCAAAGTGACATACCTCAGGGATCTTTTCATAATGGAGAAAGTGATATAGGTCAAATAGTAAACCAAAGAAAGTAGGTATCTCCAAACATGATGCTTAAAAAGACTAAAACTCAAAAGGAGTTGAAACTTGAGAAAAAGATTAAAGAATTATTTGATAATGATCCCATTGAAATCATCAGATAAGCTAAAGAATCTCCTCAAAAAAGAAATTTTATGACCCTGAGCAATACGAACACCTCTCTAAATTTAAGTACGATTAGCAAATAAGACAAGATGAAGCAAGCTCTTGGCAGCTTTATGTATAAAAATATCTAAAAAGAGGCTAAAAATGCAAGTGCTGAGTAAATAAAAATCCTTTCAGATTTCAACATACCGTTGCACAAGTATAACAAGTTAGCTACTGATGATGAGAGAAATCATTTTTTGCTTGAAAATATGTCAAACTACATGAAAAATCTATTGAAATCACTAAATGATTTGTAGCATGCCAAGTAAATGAATGATTATCAAAGAATTAATGAGATTAATAAAAGATTTTAAAACGACTAAGGTCTATATGCTTGGCTTTAGGTATGCACTCCTCATACCAGTTTACACAAGAAACTAAGGAAAGCTTTAATTGAAAAGTTCCAGAGTGAGGATATAGATCCATATAAGAAAGAAAACAAGATGCCATTAGGTTTCATAGGGGAAACATCAGCTTAGACATAGCAAGTTTTGATTGATAGCACTTTAGCCTTAAGAAGTGGTGCTGCTCTTTAGTCATACATTGAGCATACCTTTGATGATTTCGTTACAAGTTGTAAAAATGAGATTGATATTGAAAGAACCACTAATCAGAAAAGACTAAGTTTCTGGCAGTATAATAAGACTACTGCTGATACTATCAAACTCATTAATGCTAAGAATGTGGATAAACTTAAACCAATGCACTCCTAAAATGGCTCAAAAAAGAAGAAAAGACCATAAACAGCGAGTGCCTAAAACTTGGCATCAGAATAGTTACTTGGCGATTCAGAGAATTAAGATTAAAATAACTAAAATAATAATTAGTCGAAGAGCCAGAGTAGAAACCAGTTTTTAAGTCCTGAACTTAAGAAATATCTTCTTAAAAAGTAGAAACAGACCAAACGAAACTAGCTAAATTGGAACGATCTCTATGAAACTAAATTCGGAGAACATAAAACAGAAATGAGAATTAGACTAGCAGATTTATCCTCTACTAATTCTTGGAATTAAGTAGTGCTCGGTTCATTCATCAAGCTTTTTACGAAAAAACCTAAAGTTTAAGAGCCTAACCTTATTGAAGAATATAAAAATCTAGAATATGATAAAGTCAAGAGAGTAAGTCTTTTTATAACAGCTAATATTTTATTTAGATTGTTTCATCGATTCCCTCACTTAATGAATGCATTGATAAAGACTATTTCCAGCAAATTATCGACAAGATGAACAAGAAGAAGATAGATTAAGTGGAAACACATATCTCGAATCAAGTAATAGTTAACTACGAAAAAGAAAAGGAAAAATCAAAGGTAGCTAGGTTCAAATATCTAAAGAAGAAAGCTGATACGAAAGGAACTATCATTCGCAAGCATGATGATATGCTTAATAAAGAGAGATAAAGTTTGCAGAGAAGAGATGAAAACATTAAAGTTGCTAATAGATTTAGAGTTGTTCTTAGAGGCCTCGAAAATAATTATGCCTCACTTAAAACTACTGAAGAGCATT